TTTCAATTATTTTCAATTGTTAAAATTTATGAAAAAAAAAATTCTTATATTGTTGATACACATTTTTAAACAAATTGATTCATAAATAAAGTGTCTATCCCCCCCCCCCCCCCGGAACAGTCAACATGTATCACCCATTGTTTACACATGTATCATGTAGATTAAATGTATCGATTTATATAATTTGTTTATTCAGAATCGTAAATGTATAATTTGATTAAGAAGCAATTATGTAGAAGTACATGCTTCACTGTGGTTTATTTTCAATACACAAAAATTCACAAATGAGTTCGGGATCGGTATTCAATCGGGGTCAAGGTCGAAGTGAAAGTAGACTTAGCAGAAAGTTATCAAAACTGTTCAGGGCAGTGTTAAGCAGTATATAGGTGATGGGCATTTGTATTTTACACAGGAGGTAAGACGTATACCTTAGTACAATATTTGTAAATAACAATTTAATGTTTTTGGAACATGTCGATGATCGGCACGTCACAGATGCATACTTGACATGCATCATTTCAGATCAGTTGCGCGGTCAAGCTGGGTACAGTTGTCTGGGAGTTAAACGATGTGTGTGAACATGCACATTAACTGATTTTTCTCATATTTTTTAGCAATTGCATTACATGAATTTGTTGAATGTTCAATTATTGTCAGTAAAACATGATTTTTACCTATTCTGCTGAATTAACTTAATTACCAATGTAAACAGTGTGATTTCAGGTGGGAGCAAATTAATCATTTTTTAAATTAATTAATTTCAAGTAATGGGCATAAAAGGAATATGGTAAAATTGTACGTGTTGAATGTCTGTGTGTCTGTCTGTCTGCAAATGTGATATTGTACCATTTATTGTATTGATTTTTTTAAAGGTTCATGGTGATTGGTACTGGAAAAACATGAGGTCCATGCAGATGGTGTTTAAAACTATTGGCCAGCAAATGCACACCCATTTGAATACATCTTGAAAAAGAACCAGGAAAATGTGACAGTCGGCAAAATATGTGAGTTTAAGTTTTCTAAAAAAAAATTTCATTGAAGAGGGGGTATGGGGTGGGGGTGAGGAAATTTACATATAAAATAGGTGATCAGAATGTGAAAGTATTTAGCTAAAACTACTCTGTACATGCACTGCTGTATACATTTTGCAGCTCATATAGATTTTCTTTTCTTATTTAAGATTTTCAAATTAATTAGATCTACATCTTTGTTTTGTAAATTATGCATTATTAAGATTACACGGTTATAAGAATTGAAATTTCATGAATATTTGACAGTCAAAATTGTGCGATTTGTCAGGAAATTCAAAATTTTGTCTCATTTTCCTACAAATTACAAAATGGTTACCATGGAAACAAAACAACTTTAGTGAACTACTTATTTAATCTGCAACACAACATATTTTTATTTTTTAAAGTAAATAATAGTATATAAGCACTGATTTTGTCTTAAATGAAAAGTACGGGAAAAGTTATGATACACATGTATTGAGCTATCCATTATTATGATGTCATTGTGACGTCATAGATGAGTAAATTTGCATTGGTATAAAAATTGCTTTGAAACAAGTGATTGTATATAGGATTATAAAGGCTTATAACTTTTTCATTCATAGTCCAAATTTCATGAATGATACATCAATGGACAGGAAATAATCAGTACTTTTTTATTTTACTACTTTCGGGGTATTTGTGAACTTCATTTTTTTGTCATATCTGGAGAAACTATGAATTAGAGGGTGAAAAGTGGTCATATTTTGTGCGGAAATACATTATTTTTTTAAAATAAGTGAAATTGACCCAATTAAGTGCTTGATTATGATTTGACTATATGTATTTAAAGATATGAAGGTGATTAAGAATGGTATAAATGTGTTAATAGGCTTAAATTTGACTCAAAACTTGGGTGCAGTTTTGGCTAGATTGGAGCATTTTTTAAGGATATTACACATAGAACTGTAAATGCTGTAAAATCTTAATTAATTGTTGAATTTTCATGAAACTTGGCATGATGTCTCTACTTATGCTCTAAAGTGACAAACAGTGTGAAATATTGTAAAATCAAAAAAATGCTTTTTCATATTGGGTACATCCCACTAATTATTTTTAGAATCGGTAGGAGAAGAAAGTAGTGCAGAAAAAATTACAAGTTCCTTAAATTGCAGACTTGCTTAAAAAAAATTGGGCAGGTGTACTGAACTGAGCCTCACACTTGTTGATAAGGAGTATCTTTTCTACCAAAAAAGCTTTGAAAATGTACTTTATCAAGAAGATCAGCCGAATTATTTTGTGTATTATAACGCCAGTGAGAATTCTGAAATTCCCCTACTTTCACTTCCCGCAGACAGACGCATTTTGCCGGAAAACGAATCTGACATGCCACCTCGAGATTTTAACCAAGGAAAGACAAGTTGATGTGCTTTGATTTGAGGGGTCACTCACTACCGAACGAAAATTAGGGACATCGCTATGAGAAGAAACGTTAACATTGTCGCCTATGGGAAATCAATTAGTGGACTGTACCCACATGTAGTACATTTAAAATATTAAGAAAAAGACATTTTTGTCAGGCATTTGTCACACCTCAAAATACATTTTCATGCACATTACTTAATGTTACATGTTGTACATTTAAATGATTTTAAGATTAAAAAAAAAAAACATTTTTGTCAGGCATTTGTCACACCTAAAAATACATTTTCATGAACATTACTTCATGTTACATGTAGTACATTTAAATGATTTCAAGATTAAAAAAATTGTCAGGCATTTGTCACACCTAAAAATACATTTTCATGCACATTTCTTAATGTTACATGTAATACAAGTAAGTAAAACTAAAATAGAAAATACACTTTACAATGCCAAGAAAAAGGCAATGTTGTTTGGTAGTTGTCAAAATTATTCAACACATGCATATTACTTAATGTTTACAAATTTGTTGTCAATGATATCAGCTTCAAAAGAAATAGGTAGAAGACCGGATATCTGCTCCAAGAAGTCATCATTAGATGCAAGATTAATTTCTTGCTTAATGATGTCAGACAGTGTTCCTTTCCAAATGGTGATCTTTTGGTTAGTTTTTTCACAGGTGCTGTACAGTAGCTGAACTCTACAGGATTTTTTCTCTTGCTCCTCTTCCCTTCCACATGTCGGACATTTGTTATTTACCAATTTTTTGTCATAGCATCCTAGAATAAATGAGGATAAGAACATATGAAGTACATGTACTAATACATCATGTGTAAGAGACTTGGTGTTGTGACCATTTTAGACTAAACCCATCTCACTGAGAAGAGTTGCTTATGAAAATAAAGGATAATTCTCTGATGGTGAATTTCTTGAACCCCAGCCTCCTTAACCAGGTCCCATGATCATTAAAGAAACTTTGAATCAAGTCAAATTTTCCATTGTCTGTAAAATGTTTCTAAATTACTGAATTATTCTAAAAATTTCAAACAACAGCAAATAAAAATGCTCCATCAAAGAAATTTACAAAATTTTGATTATTGTCCAATTAATTTCAGACTGAATTTTACATTGAAGTCTATGGACAGTGCGTGTTTTTATAAGATATCGTAAAAAGTAATTTGAATTTCAAATGAATCTCTTGGTGAAAATATGCATAAAATCTCTCTTTATTAAAATATGAAATGACATGAATTATTTACTGAATTTTTTTTCTTCTTTAGATGAAGGGCAGATAACTCTTCAAAATCTTTTAATGTGCAAAATGAGGGTATCCTTACATGTTATCAGTCTTGTGAATTTGGTTCATGTCACTTTTATCGTTATGTAGTATAAATCTATTTTTCACTAGTTTAAGGAGGCTGGGAGGTCAACAAATAATCACAAATTAACCACCAGATTTAACTTTTTTTTAAATACCGTATCTTAGGTTGTCAACTATCATTTGGCAAAGAAAAAAATCCTACATTTTTGTTTTAAAATTTGATCATTCTTGTATATCTTTGCATAGAGATCTTCTTTTAAAGGAGATGGAAATTGTCTGAAAATGGCTGCCACCCTCAGCCTCTTTAAAATTATTCAAAATTCCTTCAAAATACATCGAATACCTTAAGTACAACATGAAGTTTTGACTTGAGATACTTTACGATCCTGGGGCCAGGACATTAATTCAATTGTAGTTGTTTTTGACAATGTCCTTTTTTTTAGGAGGGGGGTGTATTAACGGAAAAAAAATCAGGAAAACTTGAATAGTATTTTCCCTATATTTTTCTGTATCTTAATTGAAAGTAAGATAAGTCTTTAATACATTAAATGTACAAGATTTAGCTTAAAAATTGTCTTGCTTGATAATGTTTGTTTCCAAATCTGAGTAAATGTACCTCTGGATGGACAGCAGTGATAAACATCAAAATCCATTATGTCTGTAACTTGGATTTTAATGCTTTTTTTACCACACCTGTCATCTGGGAGAAAGTCGTCATCATCCATTATGTCTGTTGGAGCAATGGAAATACCTTCAACGTCTTGGAACTGTAAAAGAAATCACTTCTGATAATTAAAGATCATAAATCCTCTGCTCACTCATATAAAATTTTTCTTAATTTTTATGATTTTCCAAATGAAATGTATATGCTGAATAAAATACAAACTATACCATGGCTTGCTGGGCAAAATTTGACAAAAATGCACTTCTACTTGACAAATAATAGACATTTGTGTCATTAAGAGTTATCTCTCTTATCAGAGTATCAATGTACCTTAAAACAAGAAATTGTGAGCCAATTCTCAATAGTACTTCCCCCCGCTGAGATGTGAATACTTGTTATTTAAAGAGCAAGTTAACATTAGATAAGCCGAAAAAAGTTGCACAAAGTGGATTTAAATTGAGAAACAAATGAAAGATTAAGGGTCTGGTGAACTAGGAATTTTGAGTAAAACATATTTTCAACAAATACACAATGGGATTAATAAAATAGCATTTCTTCTTAAGATAAAATTTGTAAATATGTTATTAGCAAACTTTTTCAGTGAATGTTTAAATCATTTGAACGTACTCTGCAAGTTGTGGCACGTGATGATGTAAGTTGCTGCTTTCCCATGTAAGTTTTCCGGTACAGGCCACTTATTTCAACGCCATCATCCACTTCAAAATTCATCTCAGCATTGTCCCCAAATAAGCAAACTTTTGCGGTTCCAGATGGGTCTTTAATGTTGAGTAATCTTACGGCCAAATTTTCTCGTCTATACTTTACTGGTGATGCCTACAAAATATATCAGAATGATTAAGATGACTTACTGGTTCAATTAATTTTGTTAATTCTGTACAAGTCAAATTTGTTAAGTTGATGCTCTGTGCCATTCCACTTCTTCATTAAATTTTCTAACCAATTAACATATTGCCAAAAGTAACCTTTTTAAAAATTTTGATACTTATGACTAAAATTAATAAAAGAACGATATATATTTGTGGATATATTTTACATGTTTGATATGTTAAATTTATACCTGCACACTTTTTCCCGTGATTGTTGACCTTTCGTCAGATAAACTTGCTTCGTTCAGTTTTCTCTTTACCCCTGTTAATGGTTGTTCCTCGGGTAACAGTGGAATTTGTTTTACCATTTGTTCAGGCACATCAACTCCAGAAGTAAATGCTATCAAACTGCTAGCAACAACCCAGTATTTGTTTTGACCTTTGTTGACAGCATTGATGAATTTATAAGATCTTCCGACAGAAATATTGTTGAACTTGTGTTTCTGGTAAACTCTTAAACTGTAAAACTGAGTTCTATCTGCACAGACCAAGTTGAAAAACATCATCTGCACACCATTGTTTGTGTACTGTTGAAGCTCTTTAGACTTTTTTAGAACTTTGCACTGAAAAGTTTCATTCTGCTCCTGTGTTAAATAAATAGTGACACATGCTTAATGATAAACAGATTTGAAATGAAATTTTCTATTCTTCTTTAAGAATATACATAAATATATGCATCATATATATTGTTGAACAAAGCTCTGAATTTATGCCTCTGTGAATCATGTCTGAGTATATGAAGTTAAATAAAATAAATGTCAAATATTTCCATCATACATGTACACTTCAACAAAAACTAAAATGCCACTGAATCTCTTATTCTGCAGAAAATGAATTATCATTTATTCTTCCAATTTTCAACTTTAAAGATTAAAAAATGGCCATTTGTAAAATATACTGTTTACAAAGAAAATGTATTTAATTTGTGTATCTTAGAAAAAAATCATGGTCACTACTGAATTAACTTTTAAAATTAACACATTTCTGATATTGGTACTAAAGAAAGAACAAGAATTTGAGAAAATATAGGTTGTCAAAGGTTAGAATTTCAAGCACACATGAAACTGGAAATTCAATAAAAGTTCACTGCAATTTTTAACAATAGGGAAAAAAAGTTACTTTCTGTAAGTAAATTTACGTAAACGATCATATTCTTCAAGAACTTTATCATAAGGCAAAACTACTTTTGGGTCAAAAGAAATTATTCCAAGACCATCCAAACACTTCACTCTACTTAAAGCTACATATGCCATTCCTCGTTCAAATACATCTGGTCCAATATCAACACAGATTTTGTCTAGTGACATTCCTTGAACCTTATGTATATTGCATGCAAAACACAAAATGATTGGAAATTGCACTCTTACTATGTGTCGACCATGGATGATAAATTGATGGTGTAATTGTTCAATTGGTATTGCATTGGTCCTTTGTGAGAGTTGTTCTGTAGCATTGCTATGATTGTTACATGTGTTAATCCGATTATCAAAAAGCACATTTACTGATACAATTTTACCACTTCGAGATCTAGTGAAAGATTCTACATAGCCCATGGCACCATTGACCAAACCATTTTGTGTATTAAGATTCCTGATCAACATGACTCTTGAATTAATGGAAAGTTTAACACATGATGGTAAACCACCAGCAGCATTGTCATCTTGTGGTATGAAAAAATTAGGAACATCATTTCCTGCATTTGGATCATTTGATGCAAAGTAGTGGGTTGCATGCAATGTTTCAATATTGTTACTCAGCAAATTTTGCCTAAATTCATTGTAGGAATTTACTTTTGCTCTAGTTGGAAAAACTCTCAAAGCAGTCTCATATCCACTTGCATTAGGATTGATTAATCTTTTTTTTAATAAAGAGATATCACTATTTGTCAACATACCAACTCTAGCTCTATTTAACAAAGAGGCATAAAGATTGTCATCTCGTTGACGCATGTTTTCCTTCAGAAAAATTGGCTTAAATAATTCCCACAAAATGGTGTTTTCAAATACAAAAGATGCTTTCACAGGTCGGAGCTGAAAAAAATCACCAATAGCTATTACGTTTAATCCTCCAAAGGGTAATTCACATTGTTTAATATCACTTAATCTTCTACTGATATAAGTGAGCATAGTGCTACTGACCATACTAATTTCATCTATAATTAGTGTATGAATAGTGACATACATGTTTCTCAGCTGTGACAAACAAAAGGGTGATAATGGTTGATATTCTCCATAATTAGATACTGGAATCTTAAATGCAGAATGTATCGTTTGACCTACAATGACATTAGCAGCAGTACCAGTAGGTGCACAAACCAAAACAGGGTTAGCCCCAGGAATGCAAGATGTGTAAAGTTCTAAAAATGCGATTATTACTTTCGATAAAAAAGATTTACCAGTGCCAGCACCACCAGTTATAAATAAATGAAATGAATTTTTCTGATTTGTTTGAAAATGATTTTTAATTATATTAAGAGAAAATAATTGAGTCTCTGACAACTTACTAACACATGCTTCATAGTCCGCAAATGACATTGAGCACTGTAAAGAATGCATATGCAATTGTTCTTGTGAAGTAAATGGTAAATATGATGTAGCTAAGCTATCAGTTTGTGTAACATGCGACACTTCATTTATTTTATATGAACACAAACTTTCAAAAGACTGTATTCTAGTACTATTTTCTTGCAAGTGAAAATCAATCTGGCTGTTTTCTAGTTCCTGTTCACACATTTGTATACGACGCATAATAGTCTCTATTTTTTCAACAAATGAAAATTTTTCATAAGGGACAGAAACATCAAAAAGATGGCGTTTGGCAAGAAATGCTTCTTTAGCACTTGGGAAATCACGAGTCAATTCCTTTTCATCTCGATGAGGAAGTAACATCAGTAGTAAACTGTAATAGTAATCATCACTGTGGAGTGGCAAGTTTGTAAATCTTATTATTTTTGGACTTTTTTGGGGTCTCATGTACGTATATATCATACTTTTGAATGTAAATTCTTTCACTTGCATTTGTGCGCGAGTTCTCTTTCAAGGGTTGAGCTTTAACGTATAATGATGCAAATTTAAAATATGACATTGCTTCAATACTTGAAGGCCTATTCTGATAATAATCTAACATATTGGAATGAAATATATCAGTGCTATTATTGTCAAGCAAAGCTATTTCTTGAGCTCCTTCGAGAAGTCGAAATCTTTTTTCTGGTAATCTAGTATTTAAATTTACAAAAGAGCGGCTAGTGTGAAGCAAGTTTAAATCACCTAGACGATATGCCGCCTCTTGCGAGCTAAGACGACGGTGCTTAAGAACACATAAACCAATTTGTAATAATTTTTTGTGCTTTTCCAAATCTGGATTTTGTTTAAATACATTAAGAATCAGGTTGCCTAATGCCGATTTTAAATCCTCTGGCTCAGACTTGCACAAATAACTGCAGACATAGTATGCCACTCCCTCTGCATTACAGACAAGTTGGACATCCATATTGGCACGCCAATGCCGTAATACAACAGGATTATATGGATTAATCATAGTAGACTGATCATTCCTTCTAAGAACATAAAATTTACCTTTGTTTGATTTAGACATGTCTATGTTTTGGACAATTTTTGTATCTGGTGACACTGGATGTGGAAAGTGAAACCTACATCTTGTAAGTCGATTCTGGCAATAAGATGTATGAGAGTGTGTTTGATACTTAGTCACATACTTACATAATTCTGAATCACTTTTTGGAACATTTGCATGAATTGTTTTATCAATATATCTCAGAAAAAAATTGTTTATTATTTTCTCTAACTTCTGTTGGAAAATCTTTCACCTATAAAAACATATGCATGTGGGGACTTCCTCTATTCTGGAATTCCATTCTACCAAAGTAATCTTGAATCTGTCCAAATGGCTGTCCTTTCCCTAATATCACATCATTCAACAAATATTTGAAACGACGATTAAAAAACAAAGCTGTCATCAATGGATCATCCTTCATAAATGATGAGAAACTTCCATGTCTGAATGCTTCCTCATAGGTCAAGTTTTTAAGGCACATTCCAAGTTCAGTCCAATGATTGTCATCAGCAGACAAAGTCAAAAATATTGTAGGGGGTCCAAGACATCGAACCATTGACAGTAAATTATAAAGTGCATTTTTAAAGTAAGCAATAGTCCCTTTTATGTTCTTTATAAACATATACGAATTTTCCAAAACATCAGAAGCCTGGTTACTATGTCTTATGTCAGCGGCTGTAAATCTGTCATCTCTACTTTTACACATACGCATATGAACTCCTATTTCACTTTTAAGCAATGAGACATTGTAAGAAACACAGGAGTGTAACAAATATGTTAAGTTATATCTAAACTCTGCATGTCTATTATATAACCTATATTTGAAATACATGGAGGGATTAACATGGGTATCTCTATGATGTCTTAAGCCAATAACTCCATATGGAAATATCCAGGGAAATGCCATTTCCTCTCCTGATGTTAAATTAAAAATGTTAACAGGTTGATGAGTAGAGCTCGAAACCTTAATAACACCCTCTCTTATAAAGGCAGAAGCATTTAGTATAGGTGTATTTACATCTAAAGGTGTCAAAGAAGAATAATTAAAATTATCATCTAAATGAGACGACGATTCATACCCATTTAACAATTCATCATCCAAATGAGTAAGTATGTCAATACTTTGATTAAGTTTGATTTCCTTATAAAGAGGGTTGTTTACTATAAGCCACATAAAAGCATCTCTCAAATTTTTGCAACTGATGAAGTGTTTATTCGTGACAACAGGTTCGCTGTGTAAGAAATGCACAGATAATGTTGAATTTTCTTCAAAATTTCTGGGCAACTGATCAGCTATTTCCTGTACATTCATTGGCAAGTTTAGTACCAATCCCTTTTCAGCATACTGACCACCAGGTAAAATATGAATGGACAAAAAAACTTGAATAAGGGAAATCATGCGTTTCTCCAATATTGATAGTTTTAACAGCTCTGTTGGTATACGACCATTATCAAGGTTGTTCAACTTAGTACTCAATGGACAATTTTTATTTTGCTTAATTCTTCCATGACAATAACGACAGAGAACATCATCATATGACAATTCTAACATTTCTGCAGTAGCTGTAATTTCTTTCAAATTAACTATCTGTTCAGGAAATAAAATTCTATCACAACACTTGCAATAACTGGAGGGTTTTTGTCTAATATGCACTTCATATTCAGAATTGTGCAAATCACAATTTAAGAATTCCACTGATGGTTTTGATGTTTCTACTGTGCAAGTATAACCAACATTGGTCATATTAATGCTATTAATTGTGCTGTTTTCATTTACGACATCAGAAGGACTTGAAAAAGTTTCTGTACATGTATTTACAAATGCTTCATCTTGAGATCTGCATTTTCTTTTACGATAGGTGCTTTTTTTTAATTTAAAACTTTTTTCTGTGTTTTGCATATGAATGGAAAAAGTGAGGCTGGGGTTGCTGATGAACATCATAGTTAAAAATAACTGGGCTTAATTCATACGAGTATCCAATATAATCACGATTTAGAAAATCAAGTATGCTGTCAATGCTGTCAAAAAGAAGTAGAACTGCATTTCCTGATTCATCCAACAAACCATTTTCATTTCTTTGATGTGAATCAAAAATGGCATACCTATCATTTATAAGATCACAAACAATAGAAATTGTCAGTCCCCTAGATGTAAACATTAAGAAAGGACTTATAATTGACGCCTGATTCATAGAATTTTCTAGAGTATTTTGTCCGAATTCATATTCATTATTGCTACCTATTCTACCGAAAAAAATATCAGTTTGAATCTCGTAATTGGGAGAGTGCATGCTATGTGGCATCCAATCTCGAAGCGAACTTGGTAAATCATTGTGTGTCAGATATCCCGAAACACCCCGTACTCTGCAGGCAATATATGCGTTCAACGAAGTGCCTTCATTCACTAGATTATCTATATCATTGGGGGTAACTTCGTCTACCCATGTTAGTGGGCGATCCCTCGACATGCCACTGAAGACTACAAGAGCTAAAAAAGCAATAGCAGTGCATTGTATTCCGTTGAAAGGACAAAACTTATCAATGCCTTGGTGAATTCTACCCATTACATGTCTTACCATTTTGACTCCGTTGGTTTGACAGACTTCGCCAAATTAAATCACCACGCCGACCTCGCTTTGCCGCCAAATTCTCAGTGTAAATTCGTCTCGATCATCAAATCGCTCCAAATTGCGTGATAAAACATGACAGCAGCGTGCGTCTGTATGATTGAGACTATCAAGAAAAGCTTCTAATCGGATGAAAATGGAACAAAAAAACGACACGGTACACTGTTTTAAACTTTATCATCTCGTCGAGTAATTGTTGGCTGCATAAAATATTTATAAAAATAAGACACACGCATCAACTATCATTAAAAATATATAAAAATTTTGCTAAATGAAATAAAATAATGGTAACCATGGTAACGTACGTTTTTATCCGCTAAGTAAAATCTAATGTTCTAAAAAACGGGAGCTGTTGTTTTTTCGATAGTAAATTATGAGCAAATTTATATATAACATATGTAAATATTTTTATTTTGGAAGATGTACTTCATGCAAGTAATTATATTGCATATTTCCTAATTTATGAAGGGAAAGAACATTCCTATGTAAAATCTTTTTAATGTACAGCGAACCTAAAATTCTGAATAACTACTCTCGACGTCAATCCCATACACCAACACCTAAACTTATATGTATAGAGCAGCCCGGTCCTCCGGGCTGCAATAAAAACGCATAATATGTAATTGAATAAATAAAAATTGGTAAATGTTTTATCTGATAAAATCACTGAAGACTTTTTAGCACCGGTTTCTGTCTCTTTATTTTGTTGCTTTTAGATGTGTATTACTTCATCTACTCTTTTTATTGTCACCTTTCAACCAGTATGGATAATAAGTCCCACAAGATCCAAGAGGAGGTGGAGATGTTGGCATTTTAAGGTATCCTGCCCTGTACCAGCCAGTAGTCAGGTGATTGTCACAGAGAGGCATCACATCCTGTTTGTAGGATGGACTTCTTTTCAATAGGTCGGAGATTTCACTGTATTCTGTACATGGGTCCTCCTGGTCTGAATTATTTAAGGAATGGAGGTTATTTTAACCTATTATACATGTATGATAATTATAACATAACTTGAGGACATTTACTTTTTTATCAATTGTGAAGCGGTTTATTAAAATGTGTAAACTGCCAAAAATAATGGTATGTTTTAAAAAGGTTATCTAGGCTTCATTCCTTGTAATTTAATTTAATTGTCGCCAATAAGACAATTTGTTTTAAAATGGCCTGAAATTGAACATTTTTTAAAGTTCCATCAAGCGGCCTAATACGTTTTTAACGTAACTTAATTGTGACGTAGACAACTAACGTTAATACTGTAACATTATAAAGCAAATCTTTTATCTAATTAAATGACGATTTACAAGTAAACTATTACTATAATTTTTTGTAGAATGATCTTTGATGGTGTATAACAATTTGAAATAAATTTAAAGCATTGAGGTTGAATCTAAATTAGGCTGGGAGGTTACTTTTACAAACAGTTCAAGACGTCTTTTCTCCAAAATACCTTCGATCAGTTATTGTCGTAATCTATCGTTTTATGTTTGTGAATAGATGTTCAGTCAGGTTTTTTACATTATAATCATGAAGGAAATTTACCTGGTGTTCATTGCATTTTACATGTATCATCCATTTTTTTTATATTTCACCAAAAAAAAAAAAAAAAAAAAAAAAAAAAAAAAAAAACAGAGCAGAGTAGACTCATGCATGGAGAGAATAAATTATTTGAGGAAGTTTGAAGACCATGGTACATGTATAAATGAAATTTTAAAAATTGTATTTTAGAATGTAAGGTAAATGTTTTATTTGTTCTTGATAAACTGTTTGATAATCTTCATCAATTTAGGTATTGCATTTAGAATTTTTTAAAAGATGACAATTCAAGAATAAAGGGAAAGATATTGAATTGTTTGATTTACTTACAACTTTCCTGAATAAACCTGACGGCGCTAAGGATGAGGAGATAAAGAATTTTCATTCTCAGTAAAATCTGCAAAAGATTTTTTTAAAGATATGAATATTTTAAACAAATGTTCCCCTTTCTCCGGATTCTACAAATATCCATGTTTAGAAAGCTCAGATTTTAATGAAGTTGAACGTGATGAAATTTTCCAGTATTGTTTCATATTGGTTTTATAAATACAGCTGAACTTCGGTATCTCGAAATCCGATATCTCGAATACTATGGATTTGTCGAAGTTTTTTTATGTTCCTTAGTTCTCCTGCCAAACGACTGAGCTTGTTTTTTGATAAACAGGCAAAAACAAATAACGTCATGCTGAAGTGAAATATGTCATTTATTAAAGTAAATGACGGAAAAGTAAAACACAGTTAACAAAATGGGGGTCAGAAAAAGGAGGACTCAAATATAGAATATTACACATCTTAGTCAAAATATTACACAATCTGACCCCCAGCATCATAATGACATTGTAACATGATGTACATAGGCAAAAGGGGGGTCAACCAGACTAGAATAATAATTCAAACCCTGTAATCTTTCACAAGGTACAATATACATGCATTTTAAGTTGACCCCCTTATAAACATCATAAGTTTGGAAGACATATACAAAATGCTCTAAACTGCTGCCTGTCATCAAAAAAGGTGGGAAAACAAAATAACAAACAGCCACAATCCAATCAGAGATTGGATCCACCCACCCAAAGGCGTCTTGGCAGGAGACGCAAAATTCCTCAACAGGATGATTAATACAAAAGCATTTAAACATCATTTTTTTTTAAATTGACATATACTCAGTTCAAAAGACAATACAATAGTTATTGTGAACAAGAAAAAGAAACATCCAATAAGACTGAGTGAAAACATTACAAAGGACAAAACATCAAATAATTTTAAAAAGTATACAAAACACCTGTCTGTAGTAAATATTAACCAGACAGCAAAATGGGAATTTATAATCATGAACACTGACCTTGTCAACTGCAGACAACTTCTGACCAGTCAACAAAGTTGTTAAACTTACATCATTCTGCATCAAAATGTGCCTCTTGACTGCAGACAACTTCTGACCAGTCAACAAAGGTATCAAACATACACCATGCTGCAGTCAACAAAGTTGTTAAACTTACACCATTCTGCATCAAAATATGCCTCTTGACTGCAGACAACTTCTGACCAGTCAACAAAGGTATCAAATATCTACCATGCTGCAGTCAACAGAGTTGTTAAACTTACACCATTCTGCATAAAAATGTGTCTCTTGACTGCAGACAACTTCTGACCAGTCAACAAAGGTATCAAACAAACACCATGCAGCATTAAAGTGCCTCTTAACTGCAGGCAACTTTTGTTCAGTCAACAAAGTTGCTAAACATACATCATGCTGCATAGACATAAAAACATGCCTCGTGACTGCAGACAGTTAACTTCTGAAGCAGTCAACAAAGGTGTCAAACATACACCATGCTGCATAAAATGTGTCACATGACTGCAGACAACTTCTGACCAGTCAACCGAGATGTCAAACTTATAAAAATGTTCCTCTTAACTGCAGACAACTTCTGACCACTCGAGAGGAAAAACAGATTACCAAACTGAGGGTTTGAATTTGTGAGGATAGGTATAAGGAACCAACAGACAACTTCTGGCTTGGCCCCTGCTACACAAGGTGTTTTCAGCCTATTGCATAATTTAAATTTATAAATATTGAATCCTATCCCAGCTGGTCTTTTCTTATGGTTAAAAGTTTTGTAAACACTTTTCAGACACCAGGTAATATGTTATTTCCTGGATAGAATGAACAGCAAACTTTGAATTACAATAACTTATTTTAAAATAGAGAGACATTGCTAGTTTTCTCTAAAAACACGAAAAATGAAATAGATCTGCTTGAAAAAAAGGAAAAGCTGTAATGTAGCTAATAAGCGGAATCTGGCAATACAGATAATGTCATACATATGGTATAACGCTTATCTGACATACTATTGGTAACTGATGTCAGCAAGAGACATTTCAAATAAATTAATAAACACTGTGTATATTTAAAGTAATGAAACTGCCTCAACACGTATGGCCCCGTGCTCAGTGACATATAACATAAACAAAGTGGTATAAATTCCTTAACACGTATGGTCCCGTGTTTAGACAATCTTCCATTTACAACATGTGACCCACTAAACACGTATGGTCCCGTGTTTAGTGAAACATTCCATGCACAATGTACTTTCTAAACCCGTATGGTCCCGTGTTTAGTGAAACATGGAATAGTTAGATCATCTTGTACATGGAATGTACAAGATGATCTAACTATTCAAACACATATGGTCCTGTGTTTAGCCAATATCTATTACAACATGATGTAACCTACTAAACATGTATATGGTCCTGTGTTTAGTAAAACATTTCATGTACAAAACATCTACTTTCTAAACACGTATGGTCCCGTGTTTAGAGAAATATTCCATATACAACATGATGCAACAACTTAACACATATGGTCCTGTGTTAACTGAGATATTCCATATACCAAGTGATGTAACTTTCTTAACATGTATGGTCCCATGTTTAGTGAAACAACATTGCATACAACAATCGTATGCATAAGCTTAAATGCATCATCAATAGGAATTGCAGGGTTAATAAGCATGTATTTTATCCTGCATGACAGTAAAATCCTCATTTGGATACCATTATGCTACAGTAATTTGCATTTGTCAAACGTATGGTCCCGCTCGACGACTACTGAGCTCTGCAGAGATTGATTATAGAGATGATTCATGAACTGTGTTCACCCTTTTTTTCATATTTTGTAGAACAACTATTATAGGAGATACGATTTCAACAAAATGTGTATCTTTTAAAGGGCCTGTGATTTTACCATTTTCTTTCATTTTCCATCTAAAAAAAAATATACATATATATATATATATATATATTAATGATCCTAGGATCACCCTAAGTCTTCTTGATTTCTAGAAAGTTTTATTTTAGGTAGTTTAGTACCATCTGACATAAAACTTGTAAATATCCCTCTGACAAGACTTTCAGTTTACTAGATCTTGATCAAAGCTTTGAAATATTCAAATGAATCTCTTTATCCTGAATGAGGTTAGTTTTTAGATTAAAGTTTTTTTTTTAACCACAATATTTAAAATGCATCCGTCAATTGAGTTAAAGTGATTGGACTTTAAAATTTTGGGCCCTGCTGCATATCTCTAACCCCTGTTTCAGAAGAATTGACAAAAGTTTGCTTCATGTACTGAAAAAAGACATGAAGTGTATAAAAATCATTATTTCAAAATTAGGATATATATTTTTTAAAGAAACTATTGAATTAAGTGAAAAACCATTTGATCATGATATTATCTTACTCAATGGACTTGTTGACAGAGCAGTCCCCAGAAACATGAACCAATACACCACCCAAACTTAAAGTGGCTGTTGCCACAATACTTTCCTATGTTGAGGCAATGTCCTTGGTAATGGGCACTTGTTTGTCCACTGTTGTGTTGTCTGTGCATGCATATCTGATTTCTGACTGTTGTTTCCACATGGCCTATATAGCTTCTGCAAGTGTTACCCAGTGTGGATAGTGTCTGTTTCTAATTTGGTGGGATGGGTAACTCTGGAAAAATAAAAGTGTAAACTACTATCCAGTCTATGATATTCATTTTTTTTAAATCAAGTGCTCTGATCTAAATCAATATTTTAAGCCATGTTCTATACAACTGAGCAATCAGAACATGCAAGATAAATTCTTAGAGAATGACATAATTATTTTACTTTGGGTATTGCACAGCTGCAATAAATCAACAGGGAATAACAGGTTATGTAAATTCCAATATGAGAATATGTCTACATATATGCAGCATAAATTATTCTCATTATAACATTATTTTACCAAGAAAGAGAGCAAACATGCATTATTATACATTTTAAATATATATTTAAATATGTATTGCAAATAAATTGCTAACTTATAAATTATAAACTTGTGATTGATTCTGGAGAACATGATAATGCCAAATATGCATGTTATTCAACACACTTCTGCACACTTTATTTAGATACCTATGGTTCTTGATTCACTTCAGAAAAAGTGCATATAATCATGCCTGAGACAACCAAAAACATTTGTCCATAGACAAGCACAAGTCAACAAATTACATGTGTATATGGTCCTACACAAGTCAACAGAGATGTATGTCATTATGCAGTTGCATTCAGGTCCTGCAAGACATATGAATACATCATGTGTGCATATGGTCCTGCACAAATCAAGAAAACATGAGTGCATATGGTCCTGCACAAGTCAGCAAAACAGATCACATGTGTATATGGTCCTACACAATCAACAAAAATATATGTCATTATTCACTACCATGCAGGTTCCCCAAATCAACAAACACAAGTGCATATGGTCCTGCACAATTCAACATATTACATGTGTATATGGTCCTACACAAGTCAACAAAACTTGCATGTCATAATGTACTACCATGCAGGTCTTGCACAAATCAACAAACACAAGTGCATTATTGTGCATATGGTCCTGCACAATCCAATAAAATACATGTGTATATGGTCCTACACAAATCAACAAACACAAGTGCATTACTGTGCATACGGTCCTGCACAATCCAATAAAATACATGTGCATATGGTCTTACACAAGTCAACAAACACAAGTGCATCTGGTCCTGCACACTTTTCCCTGCACAGTTCAACAAAATTCATGTGTATATGGTCTTACACAAGTCACCAAAAAATGTGTGCATAGGGACCTGCATGAGTCAACAACTTGCATGTGCATATATTGTCCTGCACAAGTGACTAAGTCAACAAAATACACGTGCATATGGTCCTGCACAAGTGACTAAGTCAACAAAATACATGTGCATATGGTTGTGTACAAGTCAACAAAACAAAATGTATGTCAATTTGGCATAATTATGTATGGTTCTGCATGAGTTGACAAAATACATGTGAATATAATTCTGCCCAGATCAACAAAATGCATGTGCATATAATCTTTCATGAGTCAAAAGGTAATACATGTGCACATGGTCTTGTCCAAGTCAACAAAATACATATGCATATTGTTCTGCACATGTCCACAAAATATGCGTATATGTTCCTACAAGAGTCAACCAAATGTGTCAGTGAAATGAATGTGAATATGGTCCTTCACAATCATAAAATACAACATAACATGTAAATCAGTGGTGGGTTTGCCTGGTAAACATAAGTAGTGTATGTGGACCTCACTTCTACACTAATTCTCAGTAAAAGGTCACCTCAAACTATGGTGTGCACCCTTAGCAACAATACTATATCAGCATTAAATCATGTTAATCATTCTACCTATATACAAGCTGTGCCTATGACCTGCACAGTTTATGTGATAAATGTGTATGTGGTCCCACGTACACTATGTCTTGATTAAACAATTGAAAATTTGAATCATACACAATCAGATTTGTGTACCCATATAATGACAATATTTTACCAACATCCTATAGGCAACTAACTCCAAACAATATTTTTGGCTCCGTGAACAACATATAAGTAAACTTGAGTAAGATCATTCATTGTTCAAACTCTTAAAAGGAAAAGCAGGATTTGTTACCAAGTATAATACCTGTATTGGTAAAAATATTGCAAAATTATAGAAGGAACTAAAAAAACTTGAGCCTTTAATTATGAGCTAGTTAACTTAATTTTAATGGATAACACATGACTTCATCAGAAGTACTATACTATACTGGCCTGTTTTATACTGGGAATGCAGGAGTGTCAAGTGAATACTACATCAGCATCAATGGAGATCTCACAACTTGTAAAAAGGTAACACTCGTCACTGCTGAGCTGTTTATATTCACTCATCAATATCTGGTTTGTGTAGATGATTCTGACATTCAAGTCCTTGAAGAAGCGAAAGGTTTCCACTGTAACAAACAGGTTGTTATTCCCTGGCCAAGGTGAATGTAAGAAGCAAACTATCTTGTGATATTTTGGATGGACAGTTAATAGAAATGATGTTATCACATAGATGCACATTTTCTAAGCTCAGCAAATTGCAAATCACCGTAAATAGGCAAAAGTTCCTATGAAGTTACCGGTGTGATTGATAAAATCTCCAGGCTTGATCATGGTGTTAGGATTAACGATGTAGGTGATTCACTGACGGCCAGTTGCAAAAACCTCCCAGGAAAAAGTCTATACACTGTCAGGTCTATAATGTAATTTAATATTATTGTTTACAGCAGAGACCTACAGCGAAGGGTCTATGTTTACAGCTGACATAGTTCATGTAAGAGTTTTCGGGATCTCGAGCCCGACATTATTTACTACATATTTTACACCACTGTAGATACACTGACACTGTTTATCGATCGTTTACCAAATTTACTTCAATTGACCATATTATTCCCCAGACGACTCGTAGTAATAGAATATCCATGTAAAAATCACATGTAAAGTATTTTGGTCGTCCTGAATTGTGACTTCCTCAGCATGCTTAATGCCCGCATGTAAACTTTACAAGGCCGATTTCGCAACAAAAACTCACTTTACAGACGTTTTTCTGCAAATAACAAGCAGATCACATCGTCCGAAATCTTCAAAATGGAATCACAACAAAAGTTGTAGGATTTCTTTGGGAAATATGGTATAAATTCGAAAAATTCAGCAGTTCATGTAAACCATGCTTTCTCTTTTGGTAAACGGATCAATAAAGATCACGTGGAAAAGGGTAAAATTAGTTCAATAAAAGAACCGAATAGCTGCTTAGTATTAAGCTATGTCCAATACAGACACTGTTATATAATAACATAATAAAGCAAGAACATGTCACATAAATGAAATTATTTGCAATAATTACTATTTCTTACGCAGCTATGTTAAGAACCCCCTTCGGTACCTCGAGTTATGCAGAGCTTCGCGAATTCGATTATGATGTCAGGATTAAACTGTGCAAATGTATCTCGGCGAATAATTTAATACTGATTTTCTTTTTCATACACCTTCACATGTAGTCATTTCTCACTTTTATAAGAAATCGTGCAAATCAAATCATTAAATTAAATGAAAATACGTCATAACTTTTGTTCCCCTTTTACATTCAAATGTATTTAATCACAACAAAAAAATTATCGCCGATATTTTCACTGCATACCTTCACTGTACAGCTTATTATTTGCGATAAAAAAATTCTGAATCTAAGATAAACGCACGGTTCAGTGGAAAAAATATGAAAAGACAATGACTAAAAGATAGAAGGTAGACTTTATAAACATTAAAAAAACTTGCTTCCCTGCGCTAAAAAGGTTATGCATTACCAAAATGTCATTTAAATCTGATAACGATTTTTGCCCCCCCCCCCTTTTTTTAAAAGAATAAAAAAATGAAATAAATGAGATAAAATTCTCCTCGATATGTTAAAAAAATTAGCATACAAAACTAACATATTAGAAAAATTAAAATAAATTTAAAAAAAGAAGAAAAAATACCTTACCTCATGTCCAAACCAGGAAGATTTAATGATTTTTTAACTTCCGCCTCACCGTGTAATACGAGATACAATAAAGAAATGGCAATGTTTCTTCTATGTGTCAAATTAAATTATTTCATGCACCATTTTATCTCTTTAGAAGAAAAGCAGATACGGTCGTTGGCATTAATGCTTGCTGTTTAATCTAGTTCATAAATTTAAATAAATATGTTTTCGATCAAATATGGTCGTATAATGAGAAACCTAATAACTGACTTGCCAGTATCTGTTTATGGTGCTTTTTAACTACATTGTACATCTACATATACCATTTCATTATTTTTTAAAATCTATTAATAAGGAAGTGATAAGGTTTCTTTTCTTTTTTTTACAGATTACATTCAAAATTTTTCTCTCCTGCGTTATCCTTATATTGTCTTTAAAATAAAAAAAAATGTCAATACACATGATTTTAACAAGTTATATCTAAACATAATTGACTTATTTCAGCGTAAAGCTTGGGATCTAGCACTTTTCAGATTCTGTAATTTTTGTATACATATTGAATTTCTATTCTCTTTCACCTCGTCGTTCTACGTCGATTAAATTTCTTTGCAGTAAATAAATGTAGTTGTAAATCCATAAGCCGAATACTGACAATTCAACATAATGATTGTAGACCGAATATTCCTCATTGAAAATCGAACTATTTCTCAAATATTCTTGCTATACGAGGATTGTTCGCAGACCCAATGATTTACGAAAAATCTATTGCAAACTGTGAATTTTGGCCTATGTCTGATAAAAATTCATATCTTTTGTTTAATAGTATATAAAAATCAGGTCCATTTACTAGAATAAAAAAAAATACAAAGATTTTTACTTTGTGGTGATAGAGTACACGGAGCAATCACTTGACGTTCAGTGACGTGACAATCAAATTTCAAATCCGTTAAGCTTTTTCAGAGTTCTAAATATCTTTCAATCTTTAGACTTTTCTTAAAACTTAAATATTTATATCAAGATATGTTTCTTTTCTTTTATAATGTTTTTGTGCTGTTTCGGATATTAGTGGGATATTTAAATAAAGGGTCAGCGCAGTTAAGTGATTAGGTATGAAATCAATGCAAAATCCCTTGGCGCAACATCCATGCAAAAAGCATGAACGGGGTGATGCGATATGGCAGGAGTTGATTATTGAAAATGTTAATCCTTCCATCTTTATAAAGCTACTACCCTTTGAATACTTTTGTCCTGTGTACGCAAAGGCAATTTCAGAAGCATTTTAGTCTCCTTTTAGACATTTTCCTGTATGCACACATAATTTTAAGTAGCTCTGTGCTCTATGACGTTCAATGACGTTCCCATTCTTGACTTAATTTTGACGCGTTGATTATTTATTTTATTTATAATTAGTTATTAAACAGTCATATTCCTTCCAATTTAATTCAAAATTTCACCAAGTGACGTTTCATGAATACTCTTGCGACGGGCAAAAATTCATTACTTTTTTGCGCTACAACTGTGCAATTTTTAATATCAATAAAATGTCTAGGTAATGTGAGTGTGCGAAAACGAAGCATGCTCCGTTAAGCATGTTTTATTAAAAATAAAATAGCTGTTTATTTATAAGGATCACCAGGAAACACAAAGTCTTTGTATATTATTTGTGAAATATATAATTTTTTTATCTTGGTAGTTTAACTGGTTTCATTAGAATAGCTCGCTCACAGTAAGACTTGTCCGCGAATTTTTCTAATAGCCCTCGTACGTCTTTAATGGCTTCAAATTATCCACTGGAAAAAAATATCAATTATTGAATGCATATTCAAAATATGTACAATAACGTATTTGCATATTTTTGGCACTAACACCAAATGATCAATTTATCTTTGTTCTTAATCAGATCAAAATTTTAAAATACACTTAAGAACTTGAATCTGCAACGATTAAATGAAGAATAAGTCTCAAATTTATCACAATATATTTTTTGTATTTTTGCACATTTAAAGTCTAGTAGTAATACCATATAATGCATCGGACAATTCTATGTCAATCTTTAGCTGAGTATTTCGAAGGCACCTTTGTATCTACTGACAATCACGCTATACAATAATGTCTGTGCTGACTGAATATAAAGGACACTAAACTTATTTTAAAAAACAATTTGCACAAGAATTCAAAAAAAAAATTACAGATTTATTTCACAAGTTTACGTCGGTAAATTTAGTTTTTCTTTTTGTTTTAAATCTTACATCAAACGCAGTTCACGCTTAATCTGCGAAGCACGCTAACTCTTGATTCCCGCCTACATTTTACAACCATTTAATTCAAGATTGATGTCATTTTGGCCATAAAATCTTTGTTAGTGGGTAGTGGGTAGACGATATTTTCCACTGAAATCGGGATATAAAGCATCACCATATTCCGAAATAGCTTTAGATATGAATAAATATTTCTTAAATCTTTTCCTATGTTTAATGCTTATAAAATTAAGCATAATTATATATAAGTTAAGTACAATGTTTAGGTTGTTAACCACTTGGAAATTTCTGAAAAATAGGTATTTTTGTGGGGTTTTTTTTTGTCTATAAACATATGCCCCCCTCCCACATGAAACACAAAATGCTTTGGTATGAATTTGTGAAATGATAGTCCATTATAACCCGTAAAAAGGATTTTTTGTTTCACGGGCGGGGGAGGGGGTTCAAATATTTTTCATTTTACGTTGATTTCTATATATAAAAAACACGAGTTCTTCCAACATTTTAGAATTATCTCTCGTCGTTTTTCCAAAAAAGAAATGTTTTATGAAAATCGGTATAAAAATCAATATACTTTATAATAAAAACATTCGAATATCTCAACTTTTTAAAAATTGGATTGGAGGTAGGCGGGAAAACAATATTATCGTTCGCAGTTCTTTGAACAACATCTTATATAATATTCTTATATACCGTTGCAAATTCTGTTGAAAACAATATATGATTATTATTATATATAGTTTTTGTTTTGTTATTTTTCATATTCAAAATGATCCAAAATAAATGGATTGAGAGCTTTTTGAAATAAAAGTATGGAAACTGCACGGTCACAAGATGACAATGCTACTCACCATGATTTGGTACTCACCTTTTCAGTCGAATTTTCTCATTGTCTTCTCGTACATAAAAAAATCGATTGCTATCGTTATTTCGTATCCTTTGAATCCTCGAACATAAAAGGACCATATGAAACTTATTTTAGGAAATCATTATAGAGATGTTTTGTAGTGACCATTAGAAGAATTAATTTTGCGTTCTTTATCATTTGCTTTTCAACTGTGTTTCTCGCGATAAATTTTTACAACAATATATACATATTAAACTCACATCAATGACTTTAAACTTTAATACTATTAAAGCAACATGTACAGCTGTAAGCTGTAATCATTTTAAGCGGCCTTTGTACAGGTTTGTCGGCGTCGCTGCTCAGTGTCGTTACATTTAGATCACAATTCCTGATACGAATACACAATAAAGTGTTGCTCCATATACGCTTAATCACTATTAATGGATGAGGAGCACTGCAGTAATTTAGTTTTTGAATGTAAATGTTACTAAATATTTTATTTTATGATTACGTCATCTGTTGATAAGGACGGCCGCCTCTTTTATACATGAACGAGTTTACTCAGTATAGTATAGGACCTTAACACAGTGTAATTTTATAAGCAAAAATGATTTTGAGAATTCCATGAACAAAATAAGAATCATATAAAATACAATATAAAGTTGTGAACAGAGCACAAATTACAGCCCTGAAAACTGCAGGAAGTGGGATCAGGTGCCTTGGAAGGGCAAACATCCCTGTCAACCAATCATACCCGTTGTGAATATTATTTAATAAACGTACGCAGAGATTTGGCAAACAGACAAAAGTGTCTAAACAGAGATACTCATACATGTACCGTATTTTGCTTTAAGAAAGTAATTATAATATTTTTTAATGTACTCCACACCTGTTTTAGTCAGTTGCCTGTTTCTGTGTGTATCTATTAGAAAAGTACTGGAAAGAAGTACATAGAAGATTGACACAATGCTGACTTACTGTAGAGCGTGTATCCAAGAACAACAGTCTTCAAGAATATATTCCATTTTTTCAAGTGAGCAATTTTAAGTTCTACGATCAAGACGAAAAAGTGTTAATAATTATTTGATAACAGAAATAATTCCACCAATTTAATAATTAGAGCTCTAATTAATATAAAATATGCCTACTACTCTTACGTCGCCCGCGTGGCGCAGTGGTTAGAGCGTCTGCTCTAGAGTCGCGAAGTAAGGAGTCAATCCTTACGTCGCGGGTTCGAATCCCACTGTGGGACGTGGAGACCGGTCCTTCGGATGAGACCGTATAAACCGAGGTCCCGTGTCGCAGTAGGTGCTGGTACGAAAAAGATCCCTCACTGCTCAAAGGCCCTGGGTGCCGAGCATAGGACAAAATTTGTAGCCCTCCACCGGCAAGTGGTGGCGTCTCCATATGAGTGAAAAATTCTCGAGAGGGACGTTAAACAACATACAATCAATCATTACTACTCTTACATATATGCACCTGATCGAACCCCTTGAATTTCCAGGGTTCCGTGTTTTACGCCATCTTGATATATTTGTTTTTGTTTCTTAGATTTCTTGCTATCGATAAGTATTCGTTATATTTACCTTTTTACATCATAGGAGAGAGGAATAGGCGTGATAAATGCCTCCCCTATAGCTATGGGTCTCTTTCTAATCGAGCCCCCCCCCCCCCTCCCCCGGAATGGCACCCGGTCCGGAAGGAAATCAAAGACGCATGCGCTAGAGCAACGACTTTTTGGTGAGTATGTGTCATAGAAATCATCATTATTAGGATTTAATTTAGACAAGATCATAGAGGACGACAGTACATGTAAATATGCAAAAATACAAATAACTTAATTGACTTTAATTTTGATTCATCTTTTTAAACCCTAGTTGAAGAACAAAACTACAGTAACTATTATTTCTTTTTATTTAATCAGCTATATCTGTATTTTTTTTAAGGAGAGTGATTATGATATCCCTAGATTCGCTATTGCGTTCACTCTGTGATTTTCCGGTGTTGACAGGACTCTATTTAGCACTGCAAGGTTTATATTTGATTTTGCAATTTGATACTTTTGCGGCTTGAATGTTATTAAAATTATTTTAAAACTAACACAAATTCGCATTCATTTATTGAAAAATATTCAATTATTGTATTTAAAGAAACTGTATATTGAACAACTATGTAATGAGATATTTTTAAATTTCGGAATGGTTAAGCATTGTCAAGAACGCTATATTTTTCATTTGTAGTTTGGAGAATCTTAGAAAGAATATGGTAGCAATCAATTCACCTCTATCAAAAGAATTACATAATTATTCATTAATACATTGTCTTACACATGATATTTTGTATAATCGTTAAAATTATTCAAATCTACTTAACATTATAGTTGTTTAGTGATATTTAATTTAATTAATGTTTTTCTTCTTTGGTAGGAAAGATGTATTTGTGTGTAAATAAGTATTGTATTTTACCTTTTAAAATAATAAGTTCAAAATTCTTCCCTTTGTACTCATTTCTGGGATTTGCTTAAACTGTTTGTGATATTATGAAATCTATTTCTACATGTGTTTATTCGTTTTTATTTATTTTTTCATATCGTTTTGAGAAATATCTTAAAATTTTATTAACTAAAAGTTCTATTGCAATCTGGATTGAGTTGAGTAAAGTTTTATTCTATGATTTCATTGGCTCTATCATTTTATTGGTTATTTCCTATTTTTTCATCCAATAATACATTTTCATTATAAGTATAAATTCACGATTCAAATTTACCTATGTATGTCAGAGCAGTTTTACGTTTTCAAGAAAGAAGCTATTAATAATCCAGTGTCCATCATACGCATCTTATGGTATGTTACTTATATATTTAATTATGTGTTCCCTTACCATTTAAAGATTTGATTTACATTATTATTTGATTGCAAACGTTTTAATTTATTGTATTTTTGCATTAAAAGTTGTTACTGAAATAATAATGAATCTGTAAGATTTCAATTTGAATTGTTTAGGGTACACATTTTTTTCATAGAGTTAACTTTTTCTTAAGCGTATACTGTAGGTAAATTATCTCATGTTATTTTCACAAATTCTGTAATTTTGACTTATTATGTATTTTGTTTATTTTAGATCAATGCCTTTATTTCCTCCATAAATTATTAAACCAACATCTGCCTTACTGCTCGGTAACATTTTTAAGCTCGGAGTTTTGCCAAGCGCCTAAGATAAGCGGAGTTGAATTCCTGAATGTAGTTGAATTTATCGAGACGAATTTAAATTGCTTCAGCATTTAAAATCAGTTACATGATTTATGAAAAAGAAATGACCCTAACCTCTAAATACAGCTACAAACGACAGCAGGGTCTGAACTAAATCAAATCTTAGATATTTTTACTGCAAGACACAAAACCGTTGGACGCCATGTATTATATCCTCAAGGAAAAGAGTTGCTTCTACAATATATAAATAGTGCCTTTTTTGGAGTGTAACAGCTGAAATTAACATCCCAAAGAAAACCATTGTCAATCGATGCGTCAGCGTAGGTTGACAATGGTTTTCCGTGTGATGTCAATTTCAACTGTTACCCTCCAAAACAGACACCATTTATTTTATTATACTGAATGTCTTATTGATTTAGGATGTTAGCAAAAAAAAAAAAAAAAAATCGTCGGTCGTCTTTACGTTCAAGTTTAGAAAGCTTTCAATCTCCTTGCTACTGCGAAAAAGATTAACTGACCTCTTTATTGTTTGTGTGATACTTTAAGAGTCCTTTATCATAATTATAAAGTTTCGTTATTTCTGCACTCGCAAGCATGTTTCGTCTGTCGTTTGTTGTTTTCAAGTATCCTACATCGGACGCACGCTGTAATTGACGTCAAGTTTATTCCGGTTCTTTCAAACGCGCAAATGACTTTTTGAGAATTCTACGGTGAACCGTACGCGCATAATTTCGACGCATGTGACATTACCGTTGTGTTACCCGTTGTTACTGTGTTGCTAAGGCTGAGTGTAATAGAACGGATTGTTTACTGCGTCTAATCCAATCAGATTTTAGTGTTTAACATGAAAGTATAATAGTAAAAGTTATCATACGGTGTTGTCATCATTTTTACCGTTTTTCCCGATCAAGACAATAAGCACACAACGGATGTGACTGGTCGCCAGGGGATGCTCACTCCTCCAAGCATATGACTCCTGTTTCCTGTGTTTGATATGCGTATGATTTTATTGTATGATGGCATTTTTAGCTTTAATACTGCGCGTTATCGATATATTTTATTTTACATGTTTTCATGGTTTATAGACCCCTGACGTTTCATCATTGGGAGGGCGTGGAGGTGGAGGAATATCAGAGACAACTACAGGGAATTCAGACCAACGAAATATTTAAACTCGGATAACAAACCCATGGGATTTAACGAAACATTAAAACTCGTATAAAAAACCATGGGATTTAACAAAACATTTAAACTTGGAAAACAAACCAATCGTATTCAACAAAATGTTTACATTAATATTGGGATGCCAAACCAAAAGAGTTCAGTGAAAGATTTAAACTTTGAAAAAAAAACCCAATGGAAATCAGAGAAACATTTAAACTCGGATAAGAAGCTAATAAAATCCGTGAAACATTTTATATCGGATAACCAACCACTGGAATTCAACAAAATATTAAAAATCGGGTAGTTAACCAGTGGAATGCAACGATACATTTAAACTCGGATGACAAACTAAAGAAATTAAGCGAAACTTTTAAACTCGGAGAACAAGCCAATGAAATTCATCAGAACTGTTATAACCTTATAACAAACCAATTGAATCTAAAGAAATATCTATACTCGTGTATCAAACCAAACGATTACAGTGAAACATTTCAACTCGGAAAACAAACCAATTGACTTCAGTTTAACATTTAGACTCGGAAAACAAACCAATGGAATTCAGTAAAATTTTTAAATTGGATAAAAACAATGGAATTCAGACAAACATGAATATCTACTGAGTGTGTCTTTTCTAGTCTTTTTAATTTTTCCTAATGCAAATTTGGATTATAACCAGTGAAAATAAAGTATGTTTTTTTTTTTTTTTTTTTTTTTTTTTAAAGTGTTTTTATTTTAAAAAAATTAATGTCATGTTGATATCTGTTCGCAGAAAGAGCATTTTTTGATATATTAAATTGACATACACTTGTTTACAAAACAAAATAAAACACTTTTATTACAATACTTAGTACATGTAATATACATTTCAGAATTGATAACCATTTTTTAAAATAAATTGTTATTAACATTCTTGACATCTTTGACCAGATTATATTCTGATTCCATTTTATCTGTCACTAACACTGTAAACTCTGGTTTGTGATCTTTTCCAATGCTTGATATTCGCCTTCTTGTTCCTTCTGTTGATAATCCTTAATCTCCAGGAGATCGGTATATTGTCCATCTTTACTCTCCATGAGATCAGTATAATCTCCATCTTTACTCTCCACGAGATCAGTATGCTCTCCATCCTTACTCTCCGCGATATCAACATACTCTTCATCCTTACTCTCTGTGAGATCAGCATATTGTCTCTCCTTACTCTCTGTCACTGGCTGCCTGTCCCCAATCCTCACTTTAAGCTGATCATATGTGCCTACCTCAAGATTCCTCTCACTTATGTTAATATGGTCATATTCATTTTCTGAAGTAATAATTGCAAGTGGCTTCTTGCAAATTGATGAATGACATACTATCCTGAAAGTCAATACATCAGTGAATAAATGATGCTTTGTGATTGTCGTTGATCAGACATTCAACTTAGACAAAAAACTACGATATTTTCAATATTAATTTTAATATGGTCAAGTGTTGCAAAAAAAAAACATACACACTTCACAATATTTCATATTTATTCACATTACTAATAAGCTGTAAAATTTATATAATGGCATCACATGGGGAATGTTACTGGACAATAGGAGCCCTCGATCCAACCTCTTGAATTTTGGCGGATCCTTGTTTTTATGTCCCAGATTTGAATCGTTTGAGACATCAATCTCTGTTCGTTTTCTTCATGATAACAGTGTATTTAGATAATATTGTAACAAAAATATCATATATAGTCAAACGTAAATAGATTTAAATCTAGTCAACTTACATTCGTTAAAAATTTATATAAAGTCACCTTGTAAAAATTCCAATCAAAATGACCAACACCAGCACTGAAGGTATTGAAACCAATAGCACCATAGTCAATGCATTAAAACTATCTGGAAATACAAGAATTTTATTTTTAAAATGATCCATTATAAATGGTACGTTGTATTTACATGCAAATGCAACCTTGTAATGATAGCACTGGAAAAATATTGAAATTTTTGTCACATTTTTTCAATTTTATTTGTGAATTTGCAAACCCAGACTTAAAGAAAAAATCTTATGGGATATAACCGAACATACACCTCACAGATGTCAGTCTCTTAGATGTAAAATAATCTGAATATAAGGTATGGTTTCCAGTTGTATAAAAAAGCCCAATTACTCGAGCGACTCGCATATTTGATTTAACAATATCCGATCCTCAGGCAGGAAGGATAACTTCAAAAATTAATATTTAGCTTGAAATATGAAGCTTGAAAATGAAATTTTTTCATGCAGCAATTTCAGTTTATTCATCTTTATAATATTCAAGGTCTTTGAAAGTCGTAGAGAAGGTCTTATAAAAGTTGACATTTGTACCCTATAGAAGGAGAAAAAAATTAATACAGTTTAAAGAGAAATAAGATTTTCTTGAATAAAGCCTTAGATAATAATGCTTAACAGCATTATATGAAATGAGAAGTGATTTGTGGTGTCTTGCAATGCTAGAAAAAGCCTTTTACACTATGTATTATAGAATACATGACGGAAATAGAAGGCAAAAAATACCAACTAAGTATAAAAATTATGTCAATTTCTCTGAATGCCTGGATACCTATTGTTTTTTAACCTCATATATATTTGTTGATCAATTTGCAATTAGAAAATGCATTGATGATATTCCAATTCGCATTTCCTGCAAAAATATTGGAGATTTGACAATTTTCCCTATATGATACGATTAACTTGAATATTTAACTCTAAAGAAATATTGGGGATATCTTTGTGGATTCTGCAATACTTTTGAGTATTTTTAATGACTTAACTGCTAATTCTATAAACTTGAGGATCGGACTACGTTGAATACATATTATTTGAAACAAGTCTTTAAAGACACATATTGAGATAACAAACAGTATTCAAGATCGAAAGTCCATAAAATAATACAAAATAGGAGCAGAGCAAACAGGAACCTCCTAACATCAGAGATGGGATCAGGTGCAATGCACCCATCAAAAAATCTATTTTCAATAAAAATTGAATGAAATTTTCTCATTCGCCATTTATTTTTCTTTGCAATAATTAAGATGAAGAGAAGTCTCTATATTATTTTAAACCCCCATAAGTCGGAATCATTATAATCTATTTTTACCACTGGAAGAAGCCCCAGGCAGTGTTGCAATCCTGGCGCTTGTAACAGAAATAGAACCAGGCAGTGTTGAGATTCGGGCGGTTGTAACAGAATCAGCATTAGGAAGTGTTGTATTTCGATCTGTTGCTTCAGAAATTGCATCACGTAGCGGATCAGATACACTTAGTGTTATGTTTTGAATGGTTATAACAGAATCTGTACCACCACGTGATGTTGCAGTAAGTTCCGCTGTTACACTTGTTGTGATTTCTCCTTCTGTTGTTGATTGACAGGTAGGATCTATTTCTCCTAGAAAGTTTCCAAATTGAAAATGTTAACTTTTCAAAGTTAGAAATTCATTACAGTCTGCATTCACAAAGGCACAAGTTTAATTTTATGTTTGTATACTTGTTTTTGTATTTTCCAATTGCTTTATAAACAGTGTAACATGCAATGAACCGAATAAATTTGCCTTGATATTCTTCGTTGTATTAATGCTTACCAAAACAATATCTTTCTGGACAGGCATCTAGAGCCGCAAGGCAATATGCTCTGAATAAACCACAGTTTCGAATTCTTATTGGGACTTTTTTCGTACAAGGGTGCGAGAAACCAACTTGGCACACGGTTCCATCAATTTCTTCCTCATATCCCAATGGTATATTTCCTATTGATAGAAAGAAAGTAAACGTTAAAAATTACAAGATTTATCTGAGTTTTATATATTTGAAAGAACTTTAGATTGAAATTCAACAATACAATTTTGCATTTGTAGAAATACATAAATATAAAGGTCGGTGAAAGATTTGAAGATCTTTGATAATTTAAAGATTTATTATATTATATTATTTATATAATCATATCCATGCAATATCATAATTGATTTCTGCATCTAAACTAGTATTACATATGAAAACATCTCTTGGGAAACATTTTTGTAGAGTTTAAAGTATACATGTAACAGAGATTCACGTAATGTGTGCTGGTAGTATCATATTCACCTCTTTTAGCGTTTTGATTGTCAAACAATAAATAAGCAGAAATATAATTAAGAAAATAAAAATGAGATATCTTTATTTCGGTTAAAAACCATTATATTTCATTTCCCAATAGACGAATTTTACACATGAGGAACATGAGTGCGTTTATGCAATGTACTTTCATCTCAACAATATTAATATTCTTTGACTGATGCATTGCTTTTATTAACTGATACAATCTGCTGCTTATAGTTTATTTATCGAATATCATTTTTATACAAATATTTAGGTCATTTTTACAAATATAAAACGGAATATTCCTTAAGTTGAAACAAGGGAATCACTCTTTTATGGCACTTGATTCATACTCTAGGCTCTTACGCATCCCAGTTTTCATTGCATCCTGTTTGTATTGCTTGTAATGAGTTTTGATCATGATTTTTACATCTAAGGTTCATATTTCATTATTATTATACTACATGTAGCCCATTTGTCATAGGGAAACAAACAAACTAAGGTAAGTGCACGAAAGGCATATTTAACATACTTGGCAGTATTAAAACCTAAAGAAATAGGACTGTCTTCATATCGACAAGAATGAAGATAACTAAAAGTGTTCATTGACATAGGGCAATTCCAATTTAAGCTTGGACTCTCAGTAAGGCGTTGCATTCTCGATGTTGCATAATTAGCTTTTGAAATATGCATAGGATAGAAATTCGATCGAATGTCAAAAAGTGTAGGATATAGCCAATCAAAAGTTCTCCCACGACACAGAGACGGGGCGAAATACGCCTCATCGTTTTCAACAACAATTTAAAGTTCCTAATGTTTTTAATTTCTTTACTAATGTATTCGTCATTTAACATACGTTGAGCCAAGAATACCATGCCTTACTGATAGTCCAAGCTTACCTGAGAGTTGTAATAAATCTAGACAGAAAGAACAGTGAACAGGGAAAAATACAGATCCTTGAAACCCCCAGAGGTGTGATCAGGTAACCAGGACAAGTAAAAATTCCTCTTGACTTGGCAGGTCATAGTAAGCTCATTATTTTGATCAGGAAAACGAAAAAATCCGTCTTCAAATCTAGTAAACAAACACTGACCTAAGACAGTATTTGGTACAAACCAGACAATGTGCAAACCATCTTATTCTTTTTTAGAAACAAGCTAATATCTGAAGATACGTTCAACAGTATACATGTACAGTTAAAATCATAAATTCGGAAGAAATCAAAATATTCATGAAAACAAATCAGTAACTGACAGTCAGCTGAAATTTTCTTTGGTATGAATTTAAATAATACCGTTTAACCAGTATGGAAACTCAGCTCCACAGCTGCCTAAGGCGGGGGGATAAGTGACCATGTCAAAGTTAAATCGGTACCATCCGGGGGTGATATAGCGATCACAGTAATTTCCGGATCCATTGTATCGACAATTTACTGCTCTATGTTTGGGCTCAAATGGAGTGGCTGCAGTTGCATTTTCACAAGCTTCTAAAACGAAAATAAAAAGAAGTAAAAGAAGTACAGTAATAGCTATATTACGCTCTAAAATATGTATTTTTTTTTAAGTTTGGAAAATGTATTAAATATTATAACATTCTGAGTGAGTGTCCATATTTTTCGGTTTTACGTATAAAACTTATAGAAAAGAAGTATTGCTCTCATGTTAATACTTATAAGTTTATGAAAACACAGATGTTACCAACGGCATGAATACATTGATATCTTACATTGCCTTAAAAATTTTTAAATATAAGATGAAGTGTAGATTTATAGATACAACTTGTAACAAAGAATCCCTGTTTAATTTTGTTAAATCATCTTTAAATACATATCAGTATATTGCAGAATTTTCATATGAAAACGTACAGATTCACAAATTGCTGAAAAAAGTTTGTATTAATTTGTAAATGTTAATTTATGTTAAATTACCAGCAGGTCCACAAAACCAGTTGTGGAGTCTGTGTGTTAGCATGAGGGCATTGTGGACTCTTGAATGTGTGGAAGGTGGCCTATCATGCTAACATAGGAACATACTATATTCTTTATAATTCCATAATACAAGTATTTACACATTTGTCATAGCTTCTCATATCTTATCTACTATAATCATCATTATTAGTATAATGATCATTTCAATTATTGTCTCAAATTGATTATAGCTTTTTTTTCTTTATTCTATGTGAAAAGAAACAGTTTATCTGTGTACGTATTATATACAGCTTTTCTTTTTTTTCTTTATTCTATGTGAAAAGAATCATCAAATGTCAACGTGTAATGTAGTCTATCTGTGTGTTATTTATATCATTGTTTGTTATCAATAAAAGAGAAAAAAATACTTATAAGTTTGAGAAAATTATGTCCATCACAAATGTTGACTCGCTGTTAAAGCTTTCTTTGTTTGCTCAAAAGATATTTGCCTGCTTTCAGTAATTATTTTCTTATTTGACACTACTCTTTTTTACTTGACTTCGTATTTTCTTTATCTGTAAATATCTTCCTGTACCTTATATACGTTTGTATTGTCGAAGAGTAAATATACAAACAGTTAAGTCGTGAACCAATGCGGTATGAAGAAAAGAGAGACCATCTTCAATAACATGACATCATTTGTTAAGAACAAGGTATAGTTTCAATACTAATTAACCCCTGTATTTTTCTAAAATATGAAAGTGATATGAGAAATTAAAATTCATTATTTCTGATTCATAGGAATTCCATGCAGTAAGAATACATAAATCATTTTTCTGTTATGACCTCCTAAAGGCTAATTGTGACATCATTAACTTGTGCATTTTCCCGTATTTTCTTAAAAAGTTGCAGAAGACATCAATTTTAAGTGATATTTCCTTTCAGAAAACATACTCTGCCACCGTCGTGCAGAAAAATTTTGAGATATGTAATTTTTCAAAGCAGTTTACATAATATATCCAAAAACTAAAGTGGGCGACAGTGGCAGACACTATTTTCTTAAGGAAAATAAACACAAAAATGGGTGATTCTGAGGCTTTTCTGCATTAAACTTAGAAATGTACCAAATTAATAACGTCATATTTCCAGAACGGTCCTCCTTCATGCCATATTCTTTAATAATCTATCATATTCAATTACTCAACTCTTGTTAAAGCCAATTTTATAACTTTTTAAGAACACTAAATTTTTATGGCACAATAATGCCCAAACTGTATCTTCTTCTTTCTAAATAAAGTCGCCAAATGACTTATTCCAGAGATAATTGTCCGTAATAAAACAAACCTATGCTCCCTGCTTTAGGAAATGTGTTGTTAAATCTTTGAAAAGTAACATTGTTTTAAAATGTGTCGACAAATGTATGTGCTCTTTATTGCCTCAAAGAAAATTTGTAAATAAGGTAAACTTCGTTATCTCGACATCGACGGGACAGTCGGAAAATGTCGAGATATCCGAGGTGTCGAGATATCAGAGTTGAGACTCGACGTCCCTAATTTTACTTCATACTAAAACCATAGACATGAACAGACGTACCTACAGGTACCTACATGTCTTCAATTAGACTGTCGCTCGTTTGTTTCAGTTATCCTTCTATATTTATTAGAAAATCTAAGAAGTTATTCACAAATATTATTTATTTAATGAATTTTTTCTTTTTTATCGAAATCTGATCATTTTACTAAAAACCGTTTTCCATCCATCATTCGATCCGCGTGCCACTAGCTCTGTCAGAATAGGATATGAAATGCGCTCTATAAACTCTAAACTGGAACGGTATAAAGTCGACTTCCGAGATACATGAAAAAAATTCATGCGTATAATTTTTAATTTATTTCATTTCACTTCTTTTTTATTTCATAATCATTCATCATTAATTTTCATTTTATTGTCAATGCAAAATTTGAAGGGAATGGCGCATTTAACAACATATGCCGCCATATTACGGCTGATGCAATAGTCGTACATGCCGTAGATTTGATTGATTCCTGTTGAATGCATTTTTACCACAATTTTTAAGTTAAATTGAATTCAATGTTGAATTTTTAAAATAAAATGTTTAAGTTTTGTTAGATTTCGACATAAAAAACGGTTTTACATTTACGCAGAATCAAGCAGATTTATCAATGATATTACCCAAGCTGAAAATTAAACATTTTAATTAACGTATTAGAGACGCCGAGGGGGCTTGGGATTCCTCTACAAACACATTTCTACAGAGCAGTATATAGTCAAAACATGGGTGTGAAAGGTGTGAATTTCTGCCGACGTCGAGATACATGGAGTCGTCCGTGCGTGACGAGCGACCAGCTGATAAATAATTGGGTTAAGTAGAGCAGAAAATTGCCCTGATGTCGACATATACCAGGTAAATTTTGCTCTTGGGACTGTGAAATACGTCGAGATAAGCGGGGTAGTCGACATTACAGAGGTCGACATATCAGAGTTTTTGCAAATCATTTGTATAGTAAATAATGCTGGGACCGCGGACAGACGTCGACATATCCCAGGTTGTCGACATATCCGATGTCGAGATACCGAAGTTTACCTGTAGTTTTAATATGGTCTATTGCTTGGGATTTGGACATTCATGAAAAGAAAGACTTAAATTTATTTTCTCAAAACAAATCAAATAATATAGAAAAGAAAAGAACCAGATTCAAATTTTAAACGTGCAACCATTTTTCAGAACAAAACGATGTATCTAAA